CATCAACTGAGAGCACATTCACCTTGCATACTTCCAAGTATGGGTGCAGTGAGATACCTCAGTTCTGCAAGGCACAGATCCACAGTAGCTTACATGACCCGCCCATGTAACCTAGTACAAGTGACAATAGGGGCTATTTCCACTTCCCAAACACATGACAATAGGAGCTATTTCCACTTCCCAAACATGTGACAATAGGAGCATTTCCACTTCCCAAACACCTGCCATGCTTTCTGCCATCTCATCAAATCCTCGTGTGACCCTGGGAAGTAAATCTTATTGGTCCTCAGCTCACAGAAGAGGAAGCCAAGGCTCATGGAGTACAGGTAGCTCACCCAAGTCTGAACAGTTAGCATCGGACATGGACTGGAGCCCCAGATCTACGTGACTTCTATATTCATACTCAAACTGTTTCATTCAGCATGTGCCACCTTCTGAATAGGCAGCTTCTGGGGCTGGCAGCTGGTGGCTGGTGATGGGGTAGGGGAGGAGCAGAGCAGCTGGGGTGGGCAAGACGCATATCCTGAATGTGGAACCTGTAAGTACAGATTCATAGCATACCTGAGCGTTTCCTGGTACTAACTAGCACCAGAGTTCAAGAAGCAGGCGTTGAACCCACAGAGGAGTATATGTAAAGTCCAGCAATATGTCTCTTAGATAGCAGGGCCCCGACAATTTGTCTGTGTTCCAGGGATATGACTCTAATGTGTTGTTTGTGAAGCAGGTACTGAAACAGAGCTCAGGTTATATTCAAGGCAGCAGCCCGTTTTCACCATCTGGGCATATAGGCTCTATTTCAGAGGCTGGTCTGAGACCACCAAGGTCCAGGACAAGAAAGTCTAAAGAGGAACTTGGAAGCCATGTGTGGATCTATGCTGGACCTTCCAGGTCAGCCTAACGGGAAATATGGAGCTACCAAATCAGCCCTTGGCTTCTGGATCAATCTAGTCGGCCCACATGCCCATACTGGTGCAGGAGTCTGTACTCCGACCTGGCGGGGGCGGGGGGACGGGGAACATGATTTTCATGTAGTCAGAACTGAGTTCTTGAAGGTGAGCCAAGACTGAATGTCAGTTAGGGGCTTATCTTAGTAACTGGATTGATGTCTGGCCCTTAGTTAGAACCCAGAAAGTGTTACTTAGGTTCTAAAAAAAATAGAAGTGCCTGGGTACTTTGCACCCAAGTGTTTCTAGGGTATTGAGACTTTCCAAGGACTGCTCTGGGAAGTGGGCCAGGAGTGACTGCCATAAGTTTGAGTGCTGTACTCAGCTGACCCCTACCTCCCCAGTGACGGTGACGGTCTTCTTTCTTTTCCTGTCAGAGTAACCCTGTTGTCTGCAGGAGTGTGCAGAGGGGCAGGAAGGCCACGGAGGCTTGGTGGCTTCTGCCCAGGGATTTCATCCTAAGTTCTCTGCCTCCACTACAGGATGCTGCCCGCCGAGCTCAGGAGCTGGAGATGGAGATGCTGTCAAGCACCAGCCCACCAGAGAGGACCCGGTATAGCCCCATCCCACCCAGTCACCACCAGCTAACTCTCCCCGATCCATCCCACCATGGCCTCCATAGCAACCCTGACAGTCCTGCTAAACCAGAGAAGAATGGGCATGCCAAGATTGTCAACCCCAAGATTGCCAAGTTCTTTGAGATCCAGACCATGCCCAATGGCAAAACCCGGACCTCCCTAAAGTCAATGAGCCGCAGGAAGCTCTCCCAGCAAAAGGAGAAGAAAGCCACTCAGATGCTTGCCATTGTTCTGGGTGAGTCAGATCTGGCTGATGGCTACAGCCCTGTCATGTCCAGCCTTGGCAGGGGAAAGGGTAATCCCTGCAGGTCCCAGACCTGTCTTGATAACCGTGACTGGAGGGTCATGGATTGGGTACTTCCTTAGTAACAGGTCACACTCCTTACATTTAAATAGTCAATATTCAGTAGAATCTCCTGTATTGTGCCTACTGTACAGAAGGGCAAACCAGGACTTTGTGTAGTTACCTAACTTGACCATGGTTACGTCAACTCAGGCAGTTTGACTACAGTGTCCGAGCTTCACTGGTGTATGGTAAGATACCATAACCTGTCCCACATTGGTGTCTTCTCCTTTTGGTCTCCCAGTCTGTGGAGTAAGTTGCCTCTCAGGGTTGTTGTCATAGGATAGCGCAGGGTTGGGAAAGCATCACATGTGCGTTATTGTGTGTTTTGTTACTATTGCTATTGATGAGGAATTTTGAAATCTACAGTTTCACTTAGCCAAGTCCCCATGGGATAAAACTGTGAAAATTAAAATGGGCTTTTGAGAGGTAGCTCTGACTTCTATGGGCTAGAAGAGGAGGCTCAGCTGGTAAAGGCGCCTGCCATCACCAAGCCTGAAAATCTGAGTTCAATCCCTCAGTCCTATATGGTGGACTGGGAGAATCAGTTCACACACACACACACACACACACACACACACACACACACACACACACACGTATGCAATTAATTTTTTTCAACTTCTATAAAATTGTGTAATGAAAGCCCTAGGAAGTAGACTGATCCAGACAGTTGGGAAAAGGAGGGTTGGGTGTGAGTGTGCCATTCTTGTGACACTGGGACCCCCTTGATGGTCTGAAAATACTGGCAAATGAGTGGGCAGGTTCTAATGCCCTCCTGCTCAGAAGCACAGGCAAACCCCAGATGGGCAAGGGATTATTTTCCATTTATCTGGGTGTGTGGCAGGATGGGTTTGGAGCAAGGCTCTATGTGGCAGTCCACCAGGTCTTCTTTAGGGTCTTGTTACCACAAGACAATGCTCTGTCCCTAGAATATCCTCCTACGCCTTCACACTGAGTGTCCAACTGGAGTAAGTGGTCCCGAGGCCCGCCTGTGTAAGAAGGCATGGTCTTCTGGTAAGACCAACAAAGGATGTGTCTACCAACACTGAGAAATCCTGGGAAAGGCTGGAGCAAGAACCTTGCCATGTGAAGGACCTAGACAGATGGGAATCAGTTATCAGTTGTGTTACTAGAGCAAAGTGGCCCCTGGGGACATTGTGGAACCGAGATGAACTTTAGTTTCTCATTGAATTCAAGAGGCCATCGTGAACGCTAAGTAAGATGGATTTTTAGCTCTCTCTTTTTCCTAAATTGTATGTTCCACACTGCTGAGAACAAATTCTTTCCAGTGTCACCAGCTTGAGGATGACATTGCCCCCAGTGGTAACTGGGAAGTAGTCTGTATGTGCATTTGCAGAGACCGACCAGGGTCAGAATGCTTCCCAATTGTGTTCAAGTCACTTCCTTCCCTAGCAGGCAGGCGTCGTGTCCATTCAGAAGATGGAAAAAAAAATGAAGCTGAGGAAGGTACAGGGACCCTTCCCTACAGATAAGTGTCAGAAACAGGATGCTTAGATCTGAGACCAGAGCTCCTTTTGCTCCCATCCTGGGGCTGCCACCTGCAGTTAGCAGCCTTGGTGCTCCAGGAAAGCCTGTGACAGAGCAGACAGGTGGGTAGGGAGCAGGGCCCACCCAGGGCCAGCCTCTCCTTGGCCTGCGGCCAGCCTGACCCTGCCCTCTTCCCAGGTGTGTTCATCATCTGCTGGCTGCCCTTCTTCATCACGCACATCCTGAATATTCACTGTGACTGCAACATCCCGCCTGTCCTCTACAGCGCCTTCACGTGGCTGGGCTATGTCAACAGTGCCGTGAACCCCATCATCTACACCACCTTCAACATTGAGTTCCGCAAGGCCTTCATGAAGATCCTGCACTGTTGAGTCTGAGTCTGCCCCTCGCCTGCACAGCAGCTGCTTCCCGCCTCCCTGCCTAGGCAGGCCAGACCTCATCCCTGCAAGCTGTGGGCAGAAAGGCCCAGATGGACTTGGCCTTCCCTTGACCCTGCCGGCCCTGCCGTGTTAGCTTGGCTCGGTGCCCCTCTCTGCCCACACACCCTCATCCTGCCATGGTAGAGCCAGGAAGACTGGTATCTTACCAGCTCTGGGGTTGGACTCATGGCTCAGGGCAGCTCACAGAGTGCCCCTCTCACATCCAGACCCTGTCTCCTTGGCACCAAAGATGCAGCGGCCTTCTTTGACCTTTCCTGGGAGCACTGGAGTTGCTGAGGCCAGAATCTGGCTCGGTGGCCAAGCACACGCTGATGGTTGGTTTGACCTGGCCCTTGCTTGCCCAGGTTGGGTCAGGTGGTGGGAGGGAAGGACAGTTCAGACTTCACAGGGACTACACAGGAAAGTAGGGGACATACCAAGGCCCCCAGGCGACATTAGTGTTGGGACACACACACATAAACACCAGATAGCTCCACGGACACCAGAGAAATTGAGGCTGAAAAAAAATCTGTTTTCCACCCTCACTCCAGTGTGAACCCCTACATTTCATAGCAGTGGGTCCTGCTGTGTCCTACCCTGTTACAGCACCCCATGTGGTTTCTGTACCCTTTGAAGGGAACAACTCTAATCCTCACGGGCCCCTAGAGGGACCGTAAAGAGAAAAACAGCTGATCTTCCTCTATCCTCCAACCCACCTGCCACCCTCTGACAAGTCTTGGACACATCCATTCCTCACAGCAAATGCTGGCCGTCCTGGAAAGTCAGGCCTCGGACCCGGGTTGGGGCTCAAGTTGGAGGTGATAACTTGGAGCTCTTGGGGGGAGTGAGTAGCCTCCTACCACTTCCTTGCTGATCTCTTCTCTTTCCAATTCCTCTTCCTTTCCAGTGCCTCTGCCTCAGAGGAGATTGTGGGTAGGAAGCCACTGACACTGTTGGGCCTGGTGTCGTCCAGCCCTGAGAGGGGAGGGGGAGCTGCAGCTTGGAGGGCCCTGGGCTCCAACTCTGTAACATCACTATACATGCACCAAACCAATAAAACTTTGACAAGAGTCATTCCCATGGGCCCTTGGGTGGCCTGGAACACCATCAACACTGTCTTTCACATTTAGATATAGCATAAAGGGCACAACAATAAGAGGTAGTCCAGCTACCCCTCCCCTCCCTGGGTCCTGGTGCTTCTGAAGGACCAATCTTAGAAACCAGAGCAGAGATAGTTCCACGGTAGAGTTGTCCTCTGGGGTGTTGGCTTTGCTTGAATCTGTCTGTCCCTTGTCCAGTCTCTAGCATGTGTAGTGTGAGGAGGCAGGGATGTCTGAGGGTAGTGGTTTGGACAGATGCCCCTTTTCCCACTTCCAGGCTTGTTCACAGCTCCAAACTTTTAGGGTCTTGCAGGCCAGCATTGCCCCGACAACAGAAACTTGTCTCCTTAAAAGAGAGCTAGAAATCAACCCAGTGAAAGGGGAATGTTCTTGGCACCTTAGAAATCAGGAATAATGACAAACAAGGTAGTGGCACCCACGGGCTCAGGCTCTGGGGAGCTGTCAGGGCATAATTTGCATGCTAAATATAATATTTTTAGCACCAAACTTTGGAGCACTTAACTTGCCCCGAGCATTTAATTATGGACTTGGATCTTCTTGCTGAACTTGAATGTAGTGCTAAGCCTTGGGAAAGGCTCTTGTCCCCAGGAGCACCCTGGTGCCAGAAGGTAAGCTAAGCAGGTCCCCTAGGGTAGCTCAGGGCCACCTATAACTTGGTGGCCATCTCCTGGAGTGGATCAAATCCCCATTGAGTCCAGAAACCCTAGGAAACTCTCTACTGCTGACCCACCTGATAATCAATGCACCCGCCACACACACACACACACACACACACACACACACACACACACACACACACACACGCGCGCGCGCGCGGACTCACCATGCCGTCAGTCTGAGGATGGATGATGATCTTGACCTGGCTGGGAAATTCAAAGTCTGTTTCATCATTAGAAGTCTTATGAGGACACTCAAGTGTACCAGCTTCGAGAGCTGGAGGAGACGACAAACAGGGAAAGAGAAGAGAAAGAGGAAGGGAGGCCTGGAAGTGGGGTGGGGAGGCAGGCCCCAGCGCAATCAGAGAAGAGCCCTGTCAGAGAGAAGAGGGGAAGAGGGCAGGGCAGGGGCGGGAGGCGGGGCAGGAGAGAGTTGCCCACAGTTGTCAGGAGGCTTCAAGTCTTTCTTCCAGACAGCAGATTGACAGCTAGAGTGGGCAGGGGGAGGGCAGGGCTCCACCCTCTCCCCCTTGAGCACTTGGGAGCAAAGGGATGGGAGGAGTGGTACCTGAAAACACATGGCAGAAAGGGGTATCCCAGGCTCCGGCTCTCCAAAAAGGCCCCGCCCCTGCTCCTCTTGGTGGGTTTGGGAAGGAAGTACTCAGAGCTCTCCCTCCCCATTTCCTTTCCCTGACATTTCCAATGTCTCCACATACCTGGAGCCCATTCCTAGACCATCCTTGTCTCTAGAGACTGACTACATGGCTTCCTTCACCTGTTGTCTGGTCTTCCCTGTGCCAAATGGTTCACTGTCCTCCTGGGCGCAAAGACAGAGTCTGTATCTGTGACTTCAGAATCTCTCTGTATAGAGCAGCTTTGGACTTTTCCTTCCCTGATAGTCCGCTCCTCTTGTCCCAGGGGGCCACTCAGGCCTGGACTTATTTATTTATTTATTTATTTATTTATTTATTTATTTATTTATTTATAGATAGAGAAAGAAAACCTGTTGGAGACCAGACCTTTACAGTGATACCCAAGGGTCCCTGAAAACAACTATTCCTGCTTAACAGCAGGTGGTGGAGGTTGAGCAGGGACAAAGTGAACAATGGCAAGAGGCTAGAGTCTGGGTGTCTTGTGTTTCTGGGGGTCCTTTCCTGTATATTACATGCCTGTAGCTCTGCTATACCAAGCGAAACAGGAAGCTGGTAGAGAGAAAATACAGTGTCTTCTAAGTGAAAAGACCTAAGTGACCCATCCCCAGCTTTATGGATAAGGCTGAGAAGACCCCGATAAGAATAGTTTCTATTCCCGTTTGTTTTCACTCTGCCTAGGTTACTTCCAGAGCAGGGAGCAAGGTAATAATGGCTGCTGCTCTCTCTAGAGAGATCCTTTACCCCCAGGTGGAGTCATAGAGAGTTAATTAAAAAAAAGAAGTTCACCATGGAGGTTGCTAGGTATGCAGCTCAGTTGGTAGAGAGCTTGCTTAGTGTCCATGAGGCCCCGAGTAGAGTTCAGTCCTTAGGACCACAGACATCAGGAATGTCTACATGCACATGCGTACACACAGAATCCTGGCACTGGGGAAGAAGTTGGCTTGGGAGGGTTGCTGCAAGTGTGAGGCTAGCATAGCAAGTTCCAGGCCAGCCAGGGCCATCTCAGAAGCCTATCTCAGGAAGAGAAAAGAGAAGGAAAATGCCAGCCACACGACCATAACATTACTTTGGAACTTTGAGCTATGGGCACACATATGACCTTCCACCCCGAGACTCGAAGCAGAGCTGAGACAGAGAGAGGAAGCCAGCCACCCAAGTAGAGATCAAGTTGATAGGTGCAGTCATGTGGGAGAGGAGGCAAAACCATTGAGGAGATAAGAAAGATGGCGTTTATGAAGACACCAAGCTAAGAAGCCATACTATTACCTTCTGGGTTATCTGGGTAGCCTCACCTTCAAACACTATTTTGCTGCCCCAGGCATGTACAGCATGAGGAAGGGAGCCACAGGAAGCCATGCTCTGAGCTCCATCCAGGGCAGGGGAAAAGATGGGGTGGCCAAGAGAAGAAGGTCAGAGTCACATTCAGAGCCAGAAGGGCTGGCAGCATGGGCCTGATCCCATCCTTCCTTCCTGTCAATCCTCAGGCAGTACCACCATCCTCTTCCTACTTCCCATCCTTTTCTTGAAGTTGCTTCATCCATCATCTGACCGCCCGTTATTACACGCAGAGTCCCCTCCTGCACCCTGCCCTGCTCTTAGGGCTGCAGACATGGTGCTTTGGCTTAAGCTACACTAAGCTGTTTGACTGCTGGAGCCTTTTGTACTGTGGTCTGCAGATCATCTTAACACTGTGGTCTCTGCAGTCACCACCAGCGAGCCAGGGACTTGCCCTTACCTTGGAGTGACTCTGCACTGTTGTAGATGTGTTCCAAGATCACAGCCATCCCAAAGCCCAGAAAGAGTCACCCTTCCTTTCCGGAATGTACTGGCATGGGAAACTAGGCAGCTATGTTCTACAGCATCGTTCTCCACAAGGCCCCCAAAGCCTGATTATCTGTGCTCTATTCCAAGAGAAAAATTCCTCTTGTTTAGGAGAAACTGCAAGAAACTGAAATGTTGAGTGCTTATTAACTGCCTTGCCATTTCATAGGCTTGGCATCAGATTTAACCACGACAACACCCTAAGGACACAAGCGCTGCTAAGTGGTGTGACTGAAGCAAAGGAACTTTCAGCAACTTGAGGTTTTTGCAAGGCTGTGCCGCAGGAGAGCTTTGTATTCAGGTCTCCTGCATGGGCCCACCCTACTCCAGCTTCCTTCCCAGCTTCCTTCCCCAGCTTCCCTCCCCTGGCACATGCTAGCCTGGCTCCTGCCCTTTGCCCTTTACATGACATAGCACAAAACCTTCCAGCTCCCATTGCCTGTAATCTAACTAAGCACCATGGATCATGCATGGGTGTCCTGGGCACGAAGACGGGGGAGAACAGGATGCAGGAATAGTTAGGTCGTATACCTGAGCAAGCAATAGGGCAGACAGCAAGAGGTGCCAATTCAGTGCCTTCAAGAGGGGTGGCCATCTCCACCAGGGCAAGCAGGAAAAGCTTCATAGGTAGAAATAAGTGGGTTGGATCTGGGCAGTGGGGAGCTATGTAGGACCCCATCAGGCACAGATGGGGGGACTCAGCATTAGCACGAAAGGTTGTGGTATTATCCTGGGGCTGGTGAGCTCCATAAAAGGATGCTCCTGAACAGATGACCAGAGCAGTCATCTGTGTGTCCAGAAGCCCAGGGGCCTCCTCTGGTGGCTGCTCTCCCCTCTCTCACAAGCCTGCAGACTGGCTTCTTCTCTCTGCATCTTTACTCTGTGCCACCACCACCCCGTACTTTCTCAGTGCTTATAGGATGCATCCATAGGTGTCTCTAGCCCCCAGTAGTTTTCTGCAGATCCCATCTGAGAAGGTCACACAAGCCAATTGGAACTTCTGGCCTGCAGTTTAACTCCCTTGGCTGTAGCTTGCTAAAATGTACTACTCCTTCTGGTTTCCCAGTCTCACATCCGGGAGGGTTTCACCCACTGACTCCTCAAAGCACAAGAAGCCACCTAAACAAAGGTTTAGAATAGAAAAGAAATTCACCTCTGTACATGGTAAGGACAGAGCAGGTAAGTGGAATAATGTTGAAGAGAAAGGACAAGAGCCGGAAGACAGAAGAGGAACAGAGTGAAGGTGAGTGCCCATGCATGCTGGGGCTGTGTGATCCAACAGCATTCTCACAACAAAAATTCTTCTACAATCTGAAGCTGGAGCATCCACAGGCCTCCCTGTCTAGGGGTAACATCTAGGGAAAGTCTACAGTTAATAAAGTGTAAAAGGAAGACTCTAGCCCAGGTTTGTCTGGCCACCTCTAAATCCTCTGTCATAGCCTGGAATCCCAATTTCCTACCACAGCATCCAGCTTCCCCATTACACACAACTCCTAGCGGGTCTTTGGAATTGATTGGACATTCAGGCTCTATCTATCCATCCTTTAATTGGAAGGAGATGGGAGCTCTCATCCTCTCACAGTGAGACTCAAGGTAGACATCAGAGTCTTGCCCACTGGGAAGACTTCACATTGTTTGCCTGTAGAAATAAGTCTGTCCCTCCCACATTTTGGAGCTTATGGAGTACCTCCACGTCTACCCAGCCTAGCCTCTGGCCCTACTCAGGTCCATCCATGTCATCTTCAATATTTACATCTTTCAGGAGGCTCTTTCTGATCAACCCAATGCTTAGGTTGGAAACTGACTGGAGAAGAGATAACGAAGGGGAGGTCATAGGCTAATTCTATCCACATATGGCTACTTCAGTTTAACAGTATTAAAAATGTGATCTCTCAGCTACACTCACCATATTTCAAGGACTCAGTGCTACGAGTTGCTAGTGGTACCCTACTAAGCAAGATAGATCCCAAAGACTTCTTCCCTCCTTTACAGTCCTGTTGGAAATACCAGTCCTAGATTAGGAGTTTGGGGACCTTCAACTAAGACATGGATAATGGGTGAGGGACAGATTTGTGGATGGGAAGGGAATGTTCACTTTGGGTTCGTTTTGAATTTAAGGGTTCTCTGGGCCCTCTTTATAGAGATGTCCAATAAGAAATTAGGGTCCCAATTTCTAGCACTCCCATCCTTAGGCACCTTAAACACAGTGGAAACCTACCAGGGACCTGCTTCCAGCAATTTTAAGGACCTCCCTTAAACCCAACCTAAAATATTCCTCCATAACTGAGAAGGCAGGTGGGTCCAAATGAAGCTCACGGTGTATGTGTCTATCCAGGGCAACTTGAAAATACAGCAGACAACAAAGTCCTCTTGTTCAATACTGAACCCAAACTATTGTCTCTGTTAGCTCTTAGAGGAAGTGATTCAAAGAAGCAGGGATCTGAGGATCTCCGTGCAAAGTCATGATCATCAGAGCCAAAGTAATTCAGAGGCACAGTCCTGACCACACTTCCAGGATACCCTTGTCATGTACTAGATAATGAATGCCAAAGCATTCTCCCCAACACCTTTCTTCAAGGTTATCCTGACACCCTTCCTTATAGGATAAGCCAGGCACCATCTTCTCCTGTGGTTCCATCATCAACATTCCCTTTGGTTGCTCCGAGCTTACCTGGATGTGAGTATGTGGTCCCTGTATCTCCTCTGGCTCTTCTGGAATCCTAGACTTCAAGCTCCATCAATATTCTCAGGTTCAAGAAGGGCACACAGACCTGCCCCTCCTCTCCTTCTGCTGAATGTTTTAGGAGACAGAACTGGGGGTATTTTCTTAGTTACAGCAGGCAGCTGGTATAGTATAGGGACAAACAATCTGTTGGATATTCCCAGAACCCAGGAATTTCTACCACATGTCTGGGGAAGACTTCCTATAGGCATGGTTTTGTTGAGAAAGGGCTCAGAGAAAGCCTTGGGTATGCCCCCTGGTGGTCATCCTAGGCCCTGGCTCCTCCACTTCAGAGTCATGGTGCTCATTCACATCAGGGTCTGCCCTGCAGATTGTGGGTATATTTAAAGAATCCCTCATCAGGATATTTTTTTTTTTTTTTTGGTTTATCAAGACAGGGTTTCTCTGTGTCTTTTTGGTGCCTGTCCTGGATCTCTTGCTCTGTAGGCCAGGCTGGCCTTGAACTCACAGAGATCTGCCTGGCTCTGCTTCCCGAGTGCTGGGATTAAAGGCGTGTGCCACCACCACCTGGCTCATCAGGATATTCTCATGTGTAGACTAGCCTGATAGCTGCTTCTCGAGGACACAGCCCAGTCAAATGCTGACCCCGGGTTTACCATTGGCTGTCCCAAAGCTGCCCAGAGCCCAGCTGGAGATGGTCTAGAGATCCTGGGACAGAGGAAGAGAGGTTGCCAAAATGAACTCATACCCTAAGCAGGGTGCCACATAGAGTAGCAAGTCTTCTTTGCCCCATCTTTCACCATGATGATGCCAGGGTGCTAATGGGGTGGGGAGATGAGGTAGAAGAGAGAACCTGCCCTCCTCATACTCTTCTAACAGCCACTGTCTCACAGATCACTGAACCAGACCTACAAATACACACAGTGGATATTAGCAGTCCTGGCCCTTACCCAACCTGCCCACAGCTGATGGGTAGACCAATGAGTGGGTGGCCTATATGTGTTCATAGAAAGCAGTTCTCTGAGCAGCTGAGGGGGAAGAAAGGAAGTCCCTGTTTCTGCAGCTCCACCGGAAGCCCAGACAACCCCCTTGCACTACCAACTTCCTCTCAGCTGCCCTGCCTCCTCCATTGCATGTATCTACACACCAATTATACACATGTACAAGTATTATACATTTATATCTCCATCTCCTTTTAGCTACCCTGCCTGCTCCCTCACATGGGTTCACAGATGCATCCTATATTCACACATGCATTATGTATACACCTGCAACTTCTCTTAGCTGCTCTACCTCTTTTCACATAAACTCACACACAAGTATCATATATGTACATGGACCACATCAGATAAATCACACATGCATGCACACACAGTCACCCAACTCCCCTCAGCTGCCCCCTCTCTCCTCCCTCATGAGCTCACACACATATATCGTGCACACATATAACATATCAGATACTACAGACACACATATGCCATATTAACCCCATTGGCTCCCATGGGTACCCAGCTGATCCATGTGTAATTGGAAGAATGAGATCATCAGCTTTATTCACTCTGGAGTTTGGAAACTGACCATATCAATGGGCACAGAGAAGCATGAGGTTGGAGACAGGAAACTGGCATCCCATAGATGAGCATATATCTGCAGCTTGGGCACATTCTTTTATCACTCCCAAGATATATGATACCAGAGACTGAGACCAGTGCCACCAGAAGCTATGGTCATCATTGTGACAGGAGCCTGGCTGAGACTAACAGTGAGCAGATGCGTCCTCTGAGCTCCAAGTGCATACTCCCAATGTAGAGCAGGTGTCTGACTCTCCTGCTCTAGTCTAAGGTGAAACACCTAGAATACAAAATTGGAGATGAGAGGAGCCCTCTATCCTCATCTCTAGGCCTTTATTTTGGGGTGTTCCTTGGGATGCAAGGGTTCCATTACTCTCAGGCAAGCAACAGAAGGTGGCAGGGGCTGGAAAGGAAGCTTAGCATGGACACATGAGCTCACTTGAAAAGAAGGAAGAAGAAGGGTAGACTGGAGATGACTTGGAGGGGAGCTGGAACCAGTTTTCCAGGCACTCTGTAGCTCCCCAGCTCACTGGAACGTCTTCCCTTCCTTCTGTCACCTGGGACAGTGGTTCCTCTCAAGATCAAATGGGCAGGTGGGAAGTGGCCTCTCCAAAGCCAAGTTTCATTTCACAATCCTCTCCCCTTCCAGGCAAAGAGGCCCTGTTATATCTAAACTTCTGTCTGGGATTCAGGCTCAGAACCTCCCAGAATGGCTAGCAAAGGCTCCTTGCCCTCCAGGAAGGTCACGATTCCCCGTTTTTGGCTTCGAAGGGCCAGCTGCAGAGGTGTGCAGCCAACTCCATCCTTGACGTCCAGCTGGGCACCGGCCTTCACCAGCACTTTGAGGATGGCTGTGTTGGCCTTGAGAGCAGCCAGGTGGGCAGGTGTCCAGCCCATCTTGTTGCAAGCGTGGACGTCAGCACCATGCTCCAGAAGGTGGATGATGCTCAGGATGGTCTCCTTCTTCACTGCCAGGTGGAGAGGAGTCCAGCCTGACTGCTCAGCAAGATTGGGGTTGGCCCTGCCCTGTAGCAGTGCCAACACCACCACCTCCTCCCCATGGAAGGCAGCCAGGTGCAGGGGAGTCCAGTGCATACTTCCAAGAGCATCCAGGTCTGCATGACTCTTGACCAGCAGACGGATGATCTCCACGTGGCCCTTGTAAGTTGCTAGGTGCAGGGGTGTCCACCCCTGTTGTGTGGGTAGCTCAAGCCTGGCCCCATATCTGAGAAGCATCTTGAAGATAATTTGCTTGCCCCTGGCTGCAGCAATGTGCAGTGGGCTGTAGCCACTGTGGTCAAGGGCATCAGGGAATGCCCCACTCTTTAGCAGGTGTTGGATGGCTCTCACTTTTCCCCTCTCCACTGCCAGGTGTAGAGGTGTCCTCAGGTTTCTCTGCTGAGCATTCAGCTCAGCCCCATGTCCTGTCAGTAGCTTGACCAGACCAATGTGGCCAAAGTAGGCAGCCACATGGAGGGGCGTCTTGCCGTCAGCCTCCTGTGGGTTGAGATCAGCCTGTCGGGAGACCAGAAGTCGTGCCACATTCTCAAAGTTATTCTGTGCAGCTAGGTGGAGTGGGGTCCAGCCTTCATGCTCCTGGGCATTCACCAGAGCCCCATGGTCCAGGAGCAGACGGGCAGTGTGGTCATCCCCATTCTGGGCTGCAAAATGTAGTGGGGCCCAGCCATCCTCATCTGCCAGGTTGGCATCAGCACCATGTGCCAGGAGCAAGGCACAGAGATCAGGTTGCTGGTCCTGGGTGGCGATGAGGAGTGGTGTATAGCCAGAGGCTGTCTGGCAGTCTACATCAATCTCATGGGACAGCAGCAGCCTCACTTGCTCCAAACTGCCCTGGGCCACTAGGAAGTGAAGGGGAGTCATCTTGTTCTCATAGACATGTAGTTCTTCATCACTTGGCATCTCGCTGTCAGAGAGCTGCTGTAGGACCCACTTCAAGGAGTCACCTGAGCCTGCTAAGATAAAGGGATAGGTTGAAAAAAATTGACCCATAACCTCTTCAGAGGTCACCTTACAAATCCCCCTGCCTCCTGGAGACACTTTGGTGAAACAGCCTAGACATGAAGACAATGACTTTCATGGTATCAAGGGTCATTGATTCTGTTAGAGCTTGGAGCCCATGGACTTCACAGAGGAGGCAGGATGGAGCTGGAACCCAGAGGCCTGGATGAAAATCCCTACTCCACCTCTGAACATCCCCTGACTCCTGCTAGTTTTGACCTCTTTGAGCCTCCACATCCAGCTCTTTAAAGGGGAGATGAACAATACTGGCTTGTCCTGCCAGTGGGAAGACAGGTTATTAGGTAAGAATGTTCAGAGAAGGGTCCAAGAAGAAGGCAGACTGTGAAAAATCAGAACTGCACTGGAACTTGGGCTTGTGTGATATAAGATCTCCAGGCCTCACCTCCTCCTGCTCCATCTACTGTGTACCAGAACTAAATAATGAGCACTGCCAAGGCCCAACCCTACAGGTTCTGATTTGTTTGGGGTAGGCACTGGACATACCTTTTCCTCATTGTTTTTTTCAAATAAGCCTAACTAACATAAAGCCAATTTTGAGAGCCAGTGCTCTATCTCTCACGACAGAAACAGGGGAATCTGATCTTTTAACGACACACACATGAAGGGAAACTGATCCAGAACCCCAAGGGCCTGGGTGTTTTTGAACCATCCCTGATGTGTGACAGGCTTGAGAAAGAGAGAGGGAGACACGGGGGATGAGCAAAGAGAATGGATAGATCCCACCCTTTCCTCCATGGGGAGTCTTTGGTCCCATCGCAGCAGGGCAGACTTACCACTGTGTGAAAGCTCCTGATTGACTTCCTCGCTGACCTGGGAAGGCATGTACAGGGTGGCTCATCAGTGATCAGCTCTGGTCCTCCCTGCTTTTCCTCTTTCCAGTGCTTTCTGTGACCCATCAGGATTCACATTCTACCCTTCCTGGGAAACCTGCCTATACCATTGCCTCTCCAGCACATGTATAGAGGAAATCACTCAGCAGGGAAATTCTAGGGCTTGTTCTTCATTCAGAGACTTCAGGGTATATCTCTCGAACCCTCTGATAGTCCCTGATAGTTCCCGTGTCAGAGTATAGGGACAGGAGACTTGAAGGATTATGCTGACGTCCACATCGTGACAGCTTAGGATAAGGTTCTTCCCAGGGCCACAGCACCCATGGCCTTAAGAGAACAGTTAGATAATTAAGGGAATGTGTCCTCCCCTATGGATTCTGGCAGCCCCCAGCTAGCCTCCCTGGGTTGGAGAGCTAAGTATGGGTTAGCTTGGCTTACAGTTCCCATGTTCCCCTCAGCAGTCCAGTGGCCTTGTAAATGACAGCCTTTGCCTATTCCTTCACAGACCAGCCAGAGACTATGGATGACACACAGTGGCTTCCAGCATCCCTACAGTGGCCTGCCCAGCCTGCCATATATACCTTGTGGGGCTGGCTCAGTGATGGTTTGCAAGACACCTTCCGGGTCAGGGTTTCACACTCAGGATCTGCCACAGGGCTCTGGAGCAGGGACAGCAGCATGTCTGTCTCAATGGTCACATCTGCTCCACAAGGATTAGGGGTATAGAAAAGGAGGTTAACAGGCAAATTCAATGGAGTTCATCACATTTTAGATATTACGTTTCCTGAGTTCTCTTAAACACATTCTTAAGTTCATGTATATTCCCATATGCCCACAATGAGGTAGGAAGCTGAGCCCTACCCTTAACATGGCCGGGATACACTTGGCAAATCAGTGACCCTCCCAAGGTAAGTCTTTTTTCACAAAAGGGGAAGGCAAGGACCAGGTAATTTCTAAGATACTCACCCCTCTGTGTGTTGTCCCTAGAGGACCAGATAACCCCATCCCTTCCAATCTATGACATTACAGACTCCACAGTACTCAAAGTCCCCAGAGATAGCTACAGAGCTCAGGGGCAGGACCAGGCTCAGATGCTAATGCTCCCATTTGCAGACTCTACCTCCCTTAGGCACACAGTAAACACTCTGACAAAATCCATCCTCAGCTGTGCAACTCAGAGAGTCTGCCTCCCAGCCCCACCCTGAAGATGTCTTCCTCATCTTTCTGAGCTCTAGTGCTTAAGGATGTCTCCTGTCCCTCCGTCTCCAGCTCTTTGGCACGGAATAAGGGGTAGGTACTTAGAAAGCATGGCCTCTTCTTGGGGTCTTGGTCCCAGCAGCGCTTCATCAGGTCTGCCATCTGATAGGCCTCCCCTGGCCACTCCACAGGCTGCAAGGGGGGGCCTCATGCCTGCAGCTACCCGGATGATGATGGTCATCATATTGAGCCCTACAAGGGAAGATCCAGGCTGTGCAGATTTCAAAAGGTGAGGACAGAGAGCTGGCAAGTGGGTGGAAGTTGGGAGGATCCTGACATGATTGGAATGCAGTAGCTGCCCTATACATGCTCAGGGAGTAGACAGCTGAGTCTGGGACCTACTTGAAACTCCGGTTGAGCAGCTGAGTCACTGGTCCAGCTCTAGCCAAGACTCAACATGATTCCCACATCCTTTTTTTCTGGGCAAAGGCAGCAGAAGAGACAAACAGGCTTGGGGAAAGGCTTTAGCTTTCCCCATTTTAAAGAGCAGGGGACTCAGGGTATTAGATCTGTGGAACAAGGTCAAGGCTGACATTTGCTCACTATTATATAAGCTCTAGCATTTGTGGGGTAGAGGAAGCAGAGTAAGGTAGTAATCCATGAGGTTTTCATACTCTGGTTCACAAAACCCATTACTCCTCTTGTGTTTTCCAACCGCAGCCTTCCACAGGCAGAGAGCCATGATCATCTTTTACCTGAATATGGTTTCTTCTGAGTGAGAATCTCCCAGATGACAATCCCAAAGCTGTAATGGGGAATATATTAGCTGAGAGACTTAGTCTAGTATCCATGATGCCTAGCCATGGGGACCCAGCCATCTCTACAATTGCAGGTGAAGCCTCTCCAGGTCTTCCTCATCTCTCCCCTTCCATCAGCACATGGAGGACTCAGTTCAGATCCTTGTCCTACCCTGCCTCTTAGCCATAGGGACCCAACTGGGGTAGCAATGTGTCATATGACATGGAGACAATTGTCCACTTACCTGTACATGTCATATTCAGGTCCTGGAGCCTTGCTGTTCTCCTGGAACATTTCAGGAGGGATGTAGCTGAGTGTGCCCCTCAGAGCTGATCTCTCAATGTACTGCATGTGGGTTGACTGCTCCATCCATCTGGACAGGCCAAAGTCTGAAATCTGGAAGAAAGCCAGATGCCAGGGACAGGGTAGCAAGAGGCACCTTCCAGAAGTCATCTGTGGTTCCTCCCCACTGCCCTTATCAGTACATCACATATGGTTTTCAACTTCACTGTCTCCCAGCTCTGCTAACATCACTAGATGAGCTTGAACCAGTTGTTCATCTTCTCAGAGCCCTAGTTTTCTCATCTGTAGGATGAAAACCTGTATACCTCTTCCAGGAGCATTGTTCTTCCCATCTCCATGGATCCTGGAACACTCACAGCATCTGTTTATCCTTCTCTCTTTCCAGCCTTTCAGACTGTCATTTACGGTTCATTAAGGGACAATGAGTTGGGGTTCTGAGACACCTCGTAAACCACATACCATCACGGTGGGTGGGTATTCAGACAGGGTGTACATGCATTAAGAACAAGTTTTACTCTTTTTTGAGACCCTTTCCCTGATTCAAGGAGCTCTCACTCAACTTTGCCTAACCTTGAAAAAAGTTTCGTAGAATTGCTTATATACTGCAACGAGGGTCAGCAAAATGAAGTAACAAAGGCATTATGGGAGTGTATAAGAAATATATAAGTATATATTGAGATAGAGTAAGAAAGTTCTCCCCAAGGAAGTAATGATCAGTCTGAGAGCTGAGATATGGTTAAGACTTTCTAGATAAAGAGAGGGTTAGAGGAACAGAATGTGCAAAGCTCTTGAGGGCAAAAGATTATTGAAGGTTTTAAGCACTGAAGAAAAGGGCCATTATGACTTCATAAAAATCTCCTTTATACATATCCCTTCTCTAAACAAAGAACACGAGGGGTAGAGATTATTCTATAAATATTACAAGTGTGGACCTGAGGGTGTTGATATGGGCACCACAAGCCCCAGTCTCATGTTCCAAAGTTGTCTGCTTACCCATCTCTGTTTCAGGTATAACCCCTGTGTTCACTATTTATCCAAACAGAAAATGGCTCAAACTCTTGGCTGGTTCAGTTATTGGCAGGTAGACAATCCTGCTACATGGAGGAGGTCTAGCATACATCACCAAGGCCCTCACCTTGACATGCATGTTCTTGTCCAGTAGGATGTTGCCTGGCTTGAGGTCCAGGTGGAGCAGGGGTGGCTTAATGCTATGGAGGAAGTTCATGGCCAAACTCGTCTCATGGATGATGCGGAACTTGAGTGGCCAACCAAGGTTGTGGGTAGATAGTGTATTCTCCAGGGAACCACTGGCCATGAACTCCATCACAATGCCCAGGGGCTGCTTGCATATCCCATAGATGGACACAATGTGTTGAAACTTAATCTTCTCCATTTTGATTGCTTCTTCAAAGAGACAACTCATCTCAGAGCTATGGAGAACCAGGAATGGGGTGGAAGAAAGGGCAACACCAATTACCAGGGCTATGGGCAGAACATAACAACTTAGTATGAAGCAAGCTGAGGAGACCCAGAGAAACCTCAGAAGCTTGCAAGGTAGTGGAAGGGAAGTGAGAGACTATGGGAACAGCCCAGGCAGCCAGGACTTGGGCTCAAGCTGTTATCAGTGAAAAGGCAAGGGCCTTGCAGGCTCGGGAGTCCCTCCATCCTGCAGAGCCAGCCATAAAAAGCCTGGAACACAGCCTGCCATTTATCCTGCCCACTTGCTTTCATATTCATCTCCCCTAGCAGCTTTTGAGCCCCTGGAAGACCAGTATTATGCTTCATGAGTCTGTTTTAAAATAACATCTATTACCATTTTGATTATGAAAATAATACATGCACCTCATAGAAAACCTAGGAGATACAGAGAGCTGTAAAAAAAAAAAAAAATTAAACTACCAGTAATCCAACCTTGCAGAGCTGGCCTCGACTAACATTTTAGTATGTTCTTTTATGACGTTTTCCAGGAATCTCTTTTCCCTTCCTCCCTCCCTTTCGCTCCTCTCTCCTTTCTCTGGAGTGCCTACATTGTTATTCTCCTGAAGCACAGTCTTTAGTGGATGCAGGGTAGTCTGTGTTGTGGATGAACTACAATCAGTACTCTTTGCCCCATCCCCACCCCCACCCCCCACGCATTGCCATGCACTGCACAGTATGTCTTTGTGGAAGTGAACTGAAGTCAAGACTTAAGGGGAAGCCCTGTAAAACAAGCATGGCAGGCCCTCTCTCTCACTTCACTGTGTGTGCCCACAGAGCTGTAAATATGCAAGTTTCGAGAGACTGGTTGGGAATCGCAGGGATGGGGATTAAGGAGGAATGGCATTTTGAAAAAGCAAGGTATTTGCCAAGCTGTGCTGGTGCTGCAGTGGGATGCTGCTGACAGCTGATGATGTGCTCTCAGGGTCACCCTGGGAAACCAGCCAGAGGGCCTGGCCTCCAGGAACATCTACCATTCCCCAGGCATCTGAGCAGGCGGTTACTTCAGGGTTAGCCTCCTTTAGCCCTTCTTTGTTATTCCAGACAGCTCTGGGGGTGTTTTTTACCATCCTCTCTCTTTCTCTTGGGTACGTGGAAACCAGAGTAACATCTGCCTCAAGGTGGACAAATTATGGGGGCTTTAGGTAACAGTCTTCTGACCTCAAGGCTTAGTTCTATCACTTGAGATGTGCATGACTTTGGACAGGACTCTCTGGGTCTGGGTTTTAACCTGCAGAATGAGAATAACAGTAAGTGCTCCACACAGCTCCCGTCCACACCCAGACTTCTGCAGTGGGTTTCTGCCTCTCCAGCCTCAGCTCCCATTGCCCTCAGGCCTCAGCGGGCAGTTCAAATCTCTCTCCCCTTATCCCAGCCTTGTCCACATCCCCCTGTATCTCCCCGATTGTCATTCTGCTCTCCTTCTCTGTCTCCTTTGCTAATTTAGAATGCTCAGCCCTTGCACTCATTTCAAGCTCTCTGCTCATCCCACCTCACACTCCAATATCTCTGCTCATGATCAGCATCTTCAATCAGACATTTGATGCTTCAATACTTCGTGTGTCTGAAGCTCGGCTCTTGATCTCCCCAGAAGACTGTCTTATGCACCTCAGCCAGTGTGCTCTCCATCCTCCAGGCCTCAGATAAGTCCTTGATGGATTCCTCTTTGACTCCTTACATCATTCCCACAATCAGTTCCACCACTGAAATACGGCAAGGATTTGGCTACTTTTTACTACCCCTACCATTTGCCTCTGAGCCCAAGCCTCCTACATAGCCTTTCTGCTGTTACCGCTTCCTCCAAACAAATACTTTCAAATATAAATGTACATAGGATAGGATGGAGAGATGACTCAGCAGTTAAGAGTACATACTGCTCTTCCAGAGGATCCAAGTTCTGTTCCCAGTACCCACATGAAGTACCTCCAGATCCAGGCAGATCTGATGCCTCTGGTCTCTGTGGACAACTGCCCTCACATACACATACCCCACTTTCACACACAGATGTAATAAAAATAAATCTTTAAAAAACAAAAACATCATTGCTCTGCTGGGAGCCATCCAATGGCTTTCTTCTCCTTCAGAGCCGAAGACAAGGGTCTCTCCAAGCCTGACAAAGGTCCTTGTGGTCTCCTCACCTTCACCCCTGCCATGGCTCCCCGGCGTCATTGCTTCCTAACCCATCCCTCTTTCTCTGCCCACATGCCGAGTGCGTTGTCCCTTCAGGAACTCTGCATGTGTTGTTTCCTCTGTCTAGAACACCTTTGCTCACAGAACCACGTGGCCTGCCCATTCATCTGCTTCAAAGACAACTCAGATTGCCTTAATTAGTGCTTCAGAAACAAGCCTGTATAAATGGCATCTCTACCTCAGTTCTACCAATCTTTATCCCTGCACATGCAGATGACCCACAGATTAAGACTTCTATACCAAATCTATCCTTGGAAGACACCACTGCTCAACTCTCTTAGGTATATCAATTAAGAAAGTGTCCAGTAGTCCTAAGTGCTATAAATAAAAATTGCATTTGTTTATCTACCCATTGTTTCCTCTTAGAATCTAAGCTCCATGAGGGCAGGGGCTCAGGTTTGTTCACTTAAGGGTTCCTGGCTCCAATTACTACCTAAAGCACACAGCTTGTGAATGTTAACAATGTTAACACCAGTCTTTATTCTGACGTACACTTGACTCTTCTTGACGGAAGGGCATCTTACGCTCAGCATATGTGTGGACTTAGGACAGTCCTCCTCAAACATGGGATTCACGATCTCTTTTATGCCAAGGCCATCATTCCACAAATATCTGTTTAACAGTAACTATGAACCAGACACTAGCAGTGAGCAAAATAGACACAAGTTCCTATTGTCATAGAGTGACATTCTGGTGGGTCCTGTCTTCCTCTGGCATGCCGGGTATACTTCAGCACCCTTTTGTGTTATGCTTCCTGTGGTCAACTAGCCTCCATTCCTTTCACTCCATCTCCACGACTAGCACTATAGTCTGCGTCTCCATCACCTCCTGCCTGAAGACACAAAGAGTCTCCTAACAAGAACAGCATCCATTCGACCCTTTCCAGCCCATCCCCAAGCTGCACAGATGATTGTTTCCCTTCCACACTTGTCCTGCAATCTAGTTGTAGAGCCCTCAGTGGCTTTCCTCGGCTCCTTCGTGTCTTCAGCTCCTGCTGTAAGGCCTCTTCCTTACCGTTGCGCACACTTTGTCCTTCTTGTCACAGGTCCTTCATATCCCCATCGCATACAAACACTCTCCTCAGCTACTTAAGTCACGCTCATTCTTCACATTTCAGCTCCAGGGTAACTTTCTCAGAGAAGGTTTTCTGATCTCAGGCACACTCTGTCGGGAAGAGCTCAAAAGACCATTCATTCCCGCACGTGTCACAGGTGCACAGATTACATGGTTAATGTCTCTCTCCCTCTGAGCTGCAAGCTCCAGAGAGTGGTATCATGTCTACTGCACTCACCATTTCCTCCCAGGGTCCAATATAGTGCTGGGCCCATAGAGAGCAATTAGCCTTCATCAAGTGGATGGATGGATGGATGGATGGATGGATGGATGGATGGATGGATGGATGGGTGGATGGATGGATGGATGGGTGTGTGGGTGGATGGATGGGTGGATGGATGGGTGGATGGGTGTGTGGGTGGATGGATGGGTAGATGGATGGATGATCTAATAAAGCAGTAGTCATAAAGCTCCAAATATAGCCATTCATACATAACACACACTAGTTACAGTTATTAACAATTTTACTATTCCTTTCCACTCCTAAGAACTTGAGAAGGAAAACTAGGGGCAGTTTTTTTTTTTTTAATCACAGTTACAGTATAGAAAGGTCAATGCCATCCATTTCCTCGTACTATTTATTAACATATTTCTTTGTGTGCATGCATGCGTGTGTGTGTGTGTGTGTGTGTGTGTGTGTGAATGTCCATGTGTTACTACTTGCATGTATGGGTGTGGAAGTCACAGGACAACTTGCAGGAGTCAGTTTTCTCCTTCCACCTGTGGGTACTGGGGATCAAGCTTGGCTGCAAATGCCCTTCTATGCCAAGTTATATCACCAACTTTCCTCATGTTCTTTATTTCAAAGACTATACACAGTTTGGACAAATCTCAGAGTCATCTGGCCCTATTCCAAAGCCAAGAGTACTCTATGCAGAGAAGAGCTAGTACAAAAGCCGCTATTGGGGGACGTTGTCAAGTCACAGAAAACAGAACAAATAGCACCTAAGTGAGAGTCACTGGGTTCCCAGTAGGTGCCCTAGAGGCTTTCTGGGAGCCTCTTTCATACTCAGGGATAACTTCCCAGATGTTTCCTTCCTGGCTGTGAGGCGGGGAGCACATAGCAGGAACACACCATAAAGCCAGAGGCAGGAAAAGAATGGCTGTAACACACACTATGACAGCCAGGGTCCAAAACTGGCAGATATCATGAGACTTTGGACTTGACTTTCCAGCAGGATTTATGTCTCCCGACAAGTGTGTCCTGCCCTCAGTTTATCTCCTATGGAAGGCCAGCAGTGTGGTATCAGCTACCTGGTGATGTCCTCCGGGGCCAGTGTCCAGCCTCCAGTCCTCTCCAGCCTAAAGTGACTGACATGGAAAGGGAGAAGGTGATAACGTACAGTCATTGAGCAAAATGCCACATTTATTGGAAAGCTCAGTCCTGTCCAGAAAAGATGGGTAAGGAGGAGTGTGTTTGAGCACCATCACACAAGAGGAAGGAGGCAGAGCAAGGTTGAGAGGCCAGACAGATGGAGGCACTTTTGCAAGGTCGTTCCTAGTCACTTTTGACTTTTGGAGCTGCTAACAAGCTCCAAAATATAAATATAATATTATATTAATATAAATATAAATACAGTAGTTATTTATCTACTGTATTGTGGGCTCAGAGAAAAAGCCTAGGCTGGAGAATTCAGGTCACAGAGGCCCATTCAAAAGCACCTAGACAGTGGCCAGCCTCAACCCCAGCTCCTCCCTCCCTCGGAGCTCTCTAGACTAAACACTTGCTCTACCTCAGTCTCTCCTCTGTGGAAGCGGGCGGTCAGCTACCTGGTGGTCTCCTTCTGGAGGCACAGGCAGCACTTGATGGCATACTGGGTCCTCCAGCGCTTGTGTCTTGCCTGGAACACCTGACTGAAGCCACCACTGGCCACTCGGCGCCATTCTTCCTCAAAGTCATCTCGGGTGAAGGTGGTGAGGCCGCCCAGCTGCTGCTCCAAGGGGTCGCCTGCCATGGGGTCCCGAGGCCTCCTGGCCCTGCGTGGCACCATACACTCCCGTGCACCTCTGCACCTCACCTTGCTGTGGCAGCAAGCTGGGTGGTGGCCTCAGAAGCCTCTGCTTCCTGCTCTTCAGGTCTGGGAGGGTGAGAATGATGAGGTGAGAAGGTCCTCCCCACTTCTCTCCCTGTCAAGGTGGGGAAACCCCCGCCAGTCCAGAGCCTGAGGCTGCAGAAGGGAGGGAGAGAGCTGGTCCTGGAAGTGGGGGTGTCCCTTTGAGGTAGATTTTCCTTCCTCAGCCTAGACTAGCTCAACCTAAGCAGAGCTAGGGAGAGGCAGAGCTGTACCTGCTGCTGGAAGTCAGAGTACAGCAGGAGAGGCTGGTCCGGCATTGTGGTCCAGTGTTAAGGGGGAGCAGGCTGGTTTTTATCTTCCTGCTCACCTCTACAGAGAACTTAGTGTTCCTGAGAGTGGAGACCTGAGCCCTACTTTCTCCTTGGAAAGCATGGGGTGTAGAATATGCCACGGGGTTGTTTTTCTGGTCTGAATCAGACCGGTTAAACTCTTCTCTTGTTACTATTGTTTGTTTGCTAACTAGTCTTCACATCCTTGAGGTCAGCAAGGAAGGTCAGCTGGAGCAGAGATGGGCTTCAGCTGGACTCTGTCTGCAAGGAGCATTCCTTCCTATCTGCACGCCACTGTTCTGAGGCAGGTGCTGCTGGGGACATTACAGCAGGCAGATCCTACCTCACCTGCAGCAGGACAGATGGACTGAAGCCCGCAGGGAACTTGAAGAGTGACCAAGTTCAAGTTTGAAGAGTCTACCACCAGAGGAGGACATGCTAGATTGTACACCCAAATCTCCAGAATCCCCTGGCATACCTTAGTTCACTGAGCTCCTAGGAAATGGAAAGGCGAAGGTAGTCTCAGTGGAAGCTGGGCAACTTGCCCCTTCCATAACATTTTGCAAGGACTCTCCAGGATGAATGATGAAGGGCTGAAGACTGGGCCTGGAGACAGTTGTCATGGGGACCAGGCATGGCCACTACTGCCTGAACATTAGCTTTGTTCCAGGACCAGTAGCTATCTGCTTACTACGTGTACTTTATAGACATTTTCTTGTTTAAACCCACAATGGTGTTATGATGTCAACATCTATTTACAGACAAGAGAACTGGGTGTGAAAACAGTTCATTCCACACAGCTATTGGATTAAGTGGTGACTGATACTCAAACCTAGATCTCTTGGTTCCTTCGGAAATGGGCTGGGTGCAGTGGTATGAGTTGTGCTCTCTGGAAGAAGGTGGAGATGAAGGTGAAGATGAAGTGGGCTATACCCAGAGCTGTTTGGGGGGATTTGTTCACTCTGCCCCCCGAAACTGTCAATAAACTGAACCTTGATTCAGAGGACGGAGTCCACGCTCAGTTGGCCAGAATAAACCATAGAGTGTTTTGGAGGACTCAGATGGGGAGAGAGGGACACAGGGAGGAAGAAGGAGGGGTTAAGGAGTTTCACAGGCCTTTTTGGATCTTGGAGAAGGAGAGAGAAGGGTCGGCTGGGCTTTCCTCCATCATGTTTTGGATCTACTAGGTTCATACCCTACTATTTGACTCCCGAGTTTTATTAATAATAGAATAATTTAGATAATTGTTTCACAGAGCAGCATTCCGAAATGATGTCAGAGGGAAAGCTCTGGCTCACTTAGGCTGGACCAAGGCAGGGCCTCAGGAGCACCCCTTCCTGCATCTCCTTCCCCAGGGACCTGGGAGATTTGGAAGACAAGGAACTCTGCAAGCTGAGAAAGGGAGAGCTGGAGGCCAGACGGAGGTCTCTGGCCTCCTGTTAAGTGAGTAAATGTGGAGACTGGAAACTTGAACAGCCCCTTGTCCCCAAGAAGTCTCACTCAGACCTGGACCTCCTCCAACATTTGGAAGATCAACTTAGGTTCCTGGAGGAAAATACAGCGACAAACTATCCGGATCATTTTGGCAGTTCCCAGTCAAACCTACATGGGATCTCCAGGAAGAGCAGGACATGGAAGCTTTCGGTGCTGTATTCAGAGGTTCACAGGAGGGTTAAAGGAAGCATCACCCCTGGAGCATACCCAGGGCTCAAGGCAGGCTGCCAGAACCTCAAAATAAAACAACACTGTGGGTTTCTCATCAAGGGGAAGGTATATGGATGTGTCGGAGCTCAGGTTTTAATGCTGAGCCACCTGTGGAAACAGGCCAGCTGTACCTTTGAGCACTCTGGGACATCAGGCAACATGTGAAGAGTTTGTCTAAAGCCACTACAGTGTTCCTCCTCTGGTCTCTCTAACATGGGCCAGGACAAAGTCTTTGGATGAATTCTAGGAGAAATGAGCCTTCCTGGGTGCATGGTCACCAAGGTTGTGAGTCAGTGTGGTGACCCAGCAGTCCTGTAAGAATCTGGGCACTGCTGAAATCCAGTGGAGCCTTTCTCCAAACCAGAATAACAAGTCATTTGCATACAGGGAAGTTGCCCTATTTGTCTCCATCCTCCACACTGTGTTCTGACAGGCTCTGACCTCCAGCCTGTGTGCGGAGGGGAGGGTTGGTCACCCTAAAGGAATGAATGCAATCAGGAAGCTGGGACATATGCTCTAGAAGAAGGAGAAAAAGAGAAGAGAAGAGAAGAGAAGAGAAGAGGAGAGGGGAGGGAAGAGGAGGGGGAGGAGAGGAGAGGAGGAGGGGAGGAGAGGGAAGGAAGAGGAGGGGAAGGGAAAGGGAAGGGGAGGGGAGAAGATCAACCATAGCAGCAATGGATGACTTTTTTCTCCTTAGCAGTTATTGGGCCTTATTTTTATTTATTTTTTTTTTATTTTCCAGATCTCTCTGGTTTTTCCATCTGTAAAATAGAATGATTTGGCCATAGGAATATCCATTCACTCATACCTTACACCAACATTAAATCTAAATGGAGCATGGACTTAAATATGAAATAGAAACATAAAACCTATAGAAAAAAATACTCTTTTTCCTTTACTTTTTTGAGACAGGTTTTAGTATGAGTTCTAGGTTGACCTTGAGATCACCATGTAACCAAGTTCAACTCATGGTCCTCTTACCTGCCTCCCAAGCATTGGGATTGCAGGTGTGTGTCATTCCTCCTGACCCTATAATACAATATTCCTGATCTAGGGTAAGGCAAAAATACTGAGACTTAAAATTTTCATAAAATGAAAAATTAATAAACTTAACATCAAAATGAAAAATGTGTACTCTGGGAAGAACCACACAAGATGATGAGAAGCTAAACCACACATAGAGAGAAAATATTTGTGAACTGAATCCTGGATAATCATGTCCTGCTGGTTCCTAGGATATATAAAGATATCTTCAAAGTTAATGGCAAACAAGAAAAAATAATTACAGTTATCCAGTTAGAAAATGGGGAAGAGGCCGGGCGGTGGTGGCGCACGCCTTTAATCCCAGCACTCGGGAGGCAGAGCCAGGCGGATCTCTGTGAGTTCGAGGCCAGCCTGGGCTACCAAGTGAGTTCCAGGACAGGCGCAAAGCTACACAGAGAAACCCTGTCTCGAAAAACCAAAAAAAAAAAAAAAAAAAAAAAAAAAAAAGAAAGAAAATGGGGAAGAGACTCAAACATGTTTTGCTGGGGAAGATATACAGATGGCAAATACGGACATGAGAAGATGCTCAATGTCATTAGCTAATAAGCAAATACAAATTGAAGCTACAATGAGATGTCAGTGTATATGTAACAGAATGGTTAAAATAAATAACAGGGCCAAATACGGATGAGAAAATGGACCACATATGCATTGCCAGTGGAGATATATAGAATGGCCCAGCCACTCTGCAAGACAGTGAGGCAGTCTCCGAGAAGATTAAATACATAATTACTAAATGACTTAGCAATTGCCCTCTGGGGAAATAAATCCCAGAGAAATGAAAACCACATTCACATCAAACACTGCACACGATGTGAATTGTTGTTTCCTATGGAATAGCAAAAATGTGTGAAACAGCAGAGCGGGTGAAAGGTTAAACACATTGAGGCAGATGTGCGATATGGAACAATTCCCAGTGACTATTGACAGGCACAACTTAGTTGACCTCTGGGGAAGGACAATGATTTTCAAAACCAGTTTTAAAGGGCGTACATACTGTACACCCCCATTCATACCCCTGAAATGACACAATTATAAGGATGGAAAAGAGGGTGGTGGGTGTCAGAAGTGGGGTGTAGAGGAATGTGGATGCAGCTGCAAAATCCTTATGAGGAAACTGTCCTCCATCTTGACCGTGGAGGCAGCCCCATGAATCTACATGCGATGAAATCACAGCAAACTTGAAACAAATCGGCACAAAATAAAATAGCATTCATTCATTTTTCAGGGGACCAGACCCCCCCTAAATGTGGGCGGTACAGTCCCCCATGGGCTAGGGTCCTAGACTAAATTAAAAGGAGAAAGCAAGCTAAGCCTTACCACTCATCTTTTCCTGGGGACGCAATGTGACCAGCTGTGAGGTCCTTTCTGCAATGATGAAGTCTACCCTATAAATAAATACTCTAGTCCGGTGGTTTGTTACAGCATGCAAGGAAACTGATATAAACACTTGCAGAAATGTGTCCAGTAAGAACAAGTGAGTGAGATCTTAAATAGAAATGGTGGAGCACTGAGAACAAAGGCCATTCGTGCTATAAATCGGCAACGAATTTAGCTGAATCCTCTATGTGTCCGAGGATCTTGTGCGAGGTCCAAACTAAGAGCAATGAACTAGGAAGTCTGGCAGACAAACCGTCTAAGCAGCAAAGCATTCGCACTGCTTCATGCTGTTCATGGGCCACATACAGAGATCTGTGAGAACAAAAGGATGAGCTAGAGGCAGAACTTATAATTAAAAGTAAAGCAGGGCAGAGAAACCTGGAAAATCGAACCCGGCCATACAAAGAGAAAAGGTATGCAAGTGTGTGCAGCTGAGGAACTGTTTTCTAACTGCGAGATTAGCAAGGAAGGAAGGGAGCCAAATGTGTTTGGGGGAGGGCGTTGGGAGGGTTCTGAAGTCATTTCAGAGATCTCCCAGGTTGTCTCCAGCACCTTGAGTGCAGGAAGAGATCCCTGCCCAGGGCCACCTTGGGTCTCTGCTCCCTAAATCTTGGCATATTATTCTTTGGTTAGCCAAACATGGCTTAAGTCGTGTCAGCCCTAGGACGAACATTTGACTCAGGTACTAAAGTGCAAACCGTATGCCTCCACGGCACAGACATGGCGGTGTTTCTACAGGCAACTAAAACAAGATCCGTAGAGTCACAGCCTTCCACCACCTAGAACATAAAAAACACGGACATAGACATGAACCCCTAAGAGGACCATGCTGAGGAGAAATGTGGAGTTGGAGCTGCTGCAGAGTCCCCAGGGCGATCTGTGGTGGGGCCACGGTGACCAGAACACTGTGGTGACCTCCAAACCACAGAGCCACTACAATGTAAAACCTGCAGGGGAGCGTGGCAATCATGAGGGTCCAACCTGAGAGGAGAAAGCCGAGAAAAACCCTAGGGTCAGTGCTATCTCAGGGGGTCCGACCCACTTAGTGTACCTAAGAGGGGACCTTTGAAGTGAAAGACTGTCTTCCAGGTTTAAGATTTAATATCTGCTGACCTGGGTTTTGGACTTGCTTGGGGGAACTGTTACCCCTTTCTTCCAGCCCATGTCTCTCCTTTGCATTAGGAATACTTACCCTAAGCCTGTTTTGCCACTGAACTTTGCTTTTTTTTAATGTGTATGTATGTGTAGGTGTGTCCATGCACATACGTGTGCAGGTGCCAACAGAAGCCATAAGAGGGCATCCAGTTTCCTGGATGTAGAGTTGCAGGCAGTTGTGAGTTGCTTGACATGAGTGCTGGGAACCAAACTGGTTCTCTTTGGGAGCAGCAAGCACTCCTAACCACTGAGCCATCTCTCCAGGTTCCTGTTGTTGAACTTCAGAAGGGAATTGCTTTTTTTGGCTCACAGCTGGACTCCAGGCTACCAAGCTAAGACCCTGTGGATTGTCTGGGTGGAATCATTGTGTGTTGCCTTATGATAACTAGTGTTTGGGGATGAGACACTATGTCTTATCCCCTCTGAAACTCATATTGAGTATTGGGCAGTGGGGCACGGTAAGCATTAAAAGGAGATCAAGCTGTTAAGAGGGCTTAATGCCACTCATGGAGCTGAGCAAACTCTTGTAGGAGCGAGTGCTTGCTCTCCAGCGACTGGGCGAGTTACCCTGGGCATGAGTTTGGAAGCACCAGCTGCTTTCTGTGTTGGTTCCTTTTCTCACCGCTGTGATCAAAGCACTTGAGAGAAGCAACCTAAAGCAGGAGAGGTTTATTTCGCCTCTTGGTTTCAGGGAGCCCCAATGCCTCATAGTAGAATACATCCATGGCAGCAGGTGAAATGAATGATAAGCGGTGCTGGTGGTGGCTCTGATTACCGCATGGAAAGGTCACAGTCACAACAGAACCCAGTATTAGTTTTAGAGCTTTACTAGGAAGAAGAGGAGTGGGGGAGGAGAACCAGGCCTGGGAAAGGAGCACGTATGTGCAGTGAGAGGGAAAGATGGTGGGGAAGAGACAGAGCAGAACAGAGAGAGAGAGAGGGAGAGAGAGGGTCTGTGTCTAGCTTTTAAGGGTTCCCGGTGAACATGCACAGGTGGGCTTACTGAACTAGTCACCAGGGCACATTGATGATGTAAGAGGCAAGACCCTTTGCTTAAATTCTGAACTGCGCATGTGCAGCTGGAGTAAAGGCAGAATTCTAACATCAGGAACTTGTGGCTCCTCACAGGATGTTCCCAAACCAGAAGTGGATCCAACCTTCAAGACCTACCCTTCAGTGAATCACTGCTGCTAGCCTAGCTAGACCATATATCCAAAAGGTCCAAACTTCCCCAAACAGCACCCCAGCTGGGGATCAAGCCTTTAAGTTCATGAGTCAGTGGGGGACATTTTATATTCAAACCCTGACAGCTGCCATATCTGTCTCTTCAACGTGTGTGCCTGCTTGCCTTTCCACTTTCCAGCCATGTTATGACTCAGTACAAGGCCCTGATTAGATGCATCCATACAATCTAGCCTCTAGAAGCATGAGCCAAAATAAGTCATTATTCTTATAAATGACTTAATCTGTGGTACTGGGTTATAGCAACAGAAAATGAAGTAGTTAGCAACACCTGAACTGTGTAACTTAAACACGGAAGAGGCATGGCTCTCCAGGAAAACCATGGCATTGCCACCAGAACAGGGAGAAACCCCCCCCCCCCCCCCCCCCTGTAAACTGGAGAATCAAACAAGCCATTGGTCAGTCTCCAAGGTAATAAATAGCAAGTCAAAGGCCCAGGCCCAAAGCAGTAGGCTGGTTGTGTATCCAGGGCTTGTTTGGATTGAACTGAGGCCCTGATGTTTGGTTCATGTTGGGCCCAAAACTTCCCTAGAAGAAACCTACTGGGGGCCAGCTTTTCTAGCCTCCCACCGGGGAATAGTTGCCACCACCCCTGCAGAGAGGACTTCCTGTTCTCAGTGACTTCACTGACAGCAGCAGCCCTCTTATTTGAAATGCTTGTGTTTCAAGGCCATTCCTACTTCAGTCCATGACCTGAGTGTTGTCCGATTCCATTA